ATAGTATATTAATATGTACAACTAAAATTACTAATAAAGATATGAGCAAGGCCTCACCTTAACACCAAAAAAAAATAAATCAAAATTGAATTAAGATATATTTAATTTGATCATATTCAAATTAATTTAATATTTGATTTAATTTAAATTTAAAAAACTCTAGTTATAAATAACTTATTTTTTTTTTTTTATCTTTGACAATCTTATCAAAATCTTTTTTATATCTTTTATACTTTTTCTAAACTAATGTTTTCAATGTTTAAGATTATTGAACTTTGATCTTCTTTGGTCTATACTTTTAAACTTTTTAAAAGCAATTGTCAAACTGACCCTTGCTAGAAACAGAAGGCTTTGTTAGACTTTGTATAGAACCAGTTGTTATTAGAAGTTTATATAGTATCTCTTATTGTTAGACTTTCAGTCTCACATTATATCTCATAATTTTAGTTATTCCAAATTAGGCTCTAACTTGTATTTATTACCATGTGACTTCTCAACTGCAGTTTATTTGCTATTTCTGAAAATAAGTTCATTCTTAAATATTCTAAATCTCTGATACCATAATGTTGCAGTTCTCTATTTTTAGAAATATATCTCTATAATTGCTGTTACTAGGATTTGAACTAACAGTCTTGTAATTTGTAACCTCAGAGCATAACCACTATGCTATTGATCTTAAAGATTATAAGTATTTTATTTTAATTAAACTATTAATGTAATACAAATGTATTTTTTAAATTTTTAGTTTTGGTAAATTTTAAACTTAAAATCTTCTATATAAAAAAATAACAACTTATTTATTTACTAAATCACTACATCTTATAAACAAAGTTTATACCTATATATAATATATAAAGTAATAAATTATTAATTAATTTTTTTAAACTTTCTTAAAAAAATATATAGTTTCTTAATAAAAAAAACTATATATACTTTTTAAATACTGAATATATCTGAAATAGAATTCTCTATACCATGCTATTATTGTAAAATTAAGCTAAAAAAACCTTGATCCTATAACAGTAATGATATTAATGACTACATATAATATCTTTTTTTTTTAAAATATTAACGGTGAGGCACTACATATAATATCATGTAATCTGTGAAATTATTTTAAATAAAGTTACTTGACTTATAGTCATCTTAAGTGTTAATTGTTTGGCCGGCATTAACTGATAAACATCAATTGGCCTAAACTGTAACCTAACTCTTGCCCTAACTTTAACTCTAATTTAGGTTGATCGACATCTAAAACAAGAGGCATAACATATACAAAGCAACTTTAAACTAAAATAGCTTTATAAATTGTTAAAAAAAATAAAAATCTATTTTAACAGAATTGTAATTTTACTAAATTGTAACAAATTTGTTAGAAAGATTTTTTAATTATATTGAAAGTTTTTGAGTTATAACACTTTTTATAAAATATTGGATGTTTTTTGCTGCAACTAAACCAAAAATATATATTTAGAAAAATATTGCATTTAACAAGGTTGCATTTAGAAAAGTTTGACTGTATCTTTTTAATTTGGATAATAAACAGAAAAAGACAAACCACAAATAATTTTACAAAGATTTATAATTTAATATAATAATTTAAACATCAGTTAAAATTAGTTATATTTTTAAAGTTAACAAAAATTTTTAATTTTTAGTATAAATTTATTATAAAATACTGTATACGTACAGTATCCACGTATAATATGACACCATCTATTATTGTTATTCATACGTAGTATAAATCTTTGCTAATAGAATTTTCAGAATTTAAAAGGTTTTCGGAAGGTACTAAGCATCTTAAAGTACCAAGTATTGACTACAAACTCGAAAAGTTTGACAGTAAAAGTTTATAAAATATCGATATTTTATAAATTAACGAAAACAAAAAAAAATCAAGCACAACCTCAATTGGCACATGTTATACGTATCGTTGTTTTTTGTCTCGAAATTAGGGTAATTTTTTCAAACCCCATTCATGATTTGCTATTATATATTCATATCACACACTAAATAATTGTTTGTTATTTCGACCAGACTAATATCAATAAAACTGCTTGTTGAAGTAACGTGTCTAGTATTTAAGACAAATCCCTCATTTCGAACTCGTAATTTTTACCTATATTTTCACTTCATAAAGCTTAATAAAAAACTATGAATAATGTTCGGAGAACTCAGCAAAAGGGAAAGATAAAGCCACCAAAGAAATCGGTGAGTTTATTATACTTTTCTCCAAACATGTACTTGCAATCAAGAAGGTATAAAATGCTTTACTGCTAATCTAGAAATTAGGATCAAGTTGCCGTAAGTCAGCAATTGCTAGTTGGCTATTTAGTCTTTTTATGATTTACTTTGCGAGTTGTCAGTAGGGACCGGAACTGTTCAACGACCGAAAAAACGGCCGACCAATAATATTTGCCGATAGTCTATATAAATAAATATTATACCTGCAGATTTAAAATTGTTCTGTTCATTGCAACATGTAAAATTCTCTCAACTAATTTAGAACTAAAATCATAACTTTAACTAAATATGATTCCTCGTTTTCAGAATGTCGCAGATAGCACATTTAGCGATAATTGGGACCGTCTAGCCCAAGCTATTCGAGAAATCCACAGAAAAAATGCGTCGATCCTAAGTTTCGAAGAGCTTTACCGCAATGCCTATAACATGGTCCTCCATAAAAATGGTGATAAGCTGTATAACGGTGTGAGGGAGGTTATCACTCAACACTTAGAAGAAGTGGCTAAAGAACAAGTTGTTCCGGCTTTCCCCATGTCAGGTGCTAGTAGCTCGCAAGCAAATTCTGCTAACGGCACTGGTGGTGCAAATTTCTTAAAAGTGTTGAAAAGTGTTTGGGAAGATCACACAACGTGTATGCTTATGATTAGAGACATTTTGATGTACATGGTAATTTACAACCGTTATTTTAATTTGTACACATTTCTATTTTGTTCACATGTTGCGTTTATGGATCATTTTCTAATTATTTACAATATTTACCAAATGCATTATACCCAAAGGATCGTGTGTATGCCAAATCAGCGAATGTCCCTCTAGTCTATGAACTAGGATTAGAGCTCTTTAGGGATACCATAGTTCGATCCACAATATATCCTATCCAAACTCATCTTTTGGACGTTCTTTTGAATCAAATCCTTCTTGAACGTGAAAACGAGATCATCGATCGTTCTAATATTAAAGCATCGATGGATATGTTACTCGAATTAACTGATACAAGTACGAAAGATACAGTTTATGCAACTGATTTTGAAGGACGGTTTTTGGAGACGAGTTCTGAATATTATCGAGTTGAAGGTCAAATGCTTGTAGGAGAATGTGATGCACCGGAATATATGAAAAAAGTACATTGCATCTTATCATTGACTTATGTTTTACAAAATCATCACTAACAATTTACCATTTATGTATTTATTTAGGTTGAAAAACGTCTTAATGAAGAAGAACAACGCGTGCGTCATTACCTTTCACCGACCACAGAACCGAAAATTAGAAATATTGTGGAAGAAGAACTTATTTCTAAACATCTTAAAACTGTTATTGAGGTAATAAAAAAAATACATATATATTAAATATTTTATTGTTTCGCAATTTTAACTCTAGTTACCTAGATGGAAAACTCTGGTTTAATTCCTATGCTAAGAAATGAAAAAATGGATGGTAGGAAATTTATTTAAACAGAAATTTGTCTTTGACTTTGTAATATGTTAACACTATTTTAAACCTCCGGCTGCACTCTATAACAGATCTTGGGAGAATGTACAAATTATTCGGGCGGGTTATTAAAGGTCACGAAGAGATGAAAACTGCTATCAGCAATTATATACGTGAACTCGGTAAAGCGATAAATGAAACTGTTTCTAGCAGCGCTACGACGGCAACGGCTGCCGAAAATAATGCCACTGGTGGTGACCGACAAACTGGAACTTCTGTGGCAATACGATGGGTTCAGGAAGTTCTTGATCTTAAAGATAAATTTGATAAAGTCCAGAATTTGGCTCTGTCTAATGACAAGGCATTTCAAACTGCATTTAACGAGGTGAATTTTCCCATTAAAATGAATTTAATCATATGTATACGCATTATATTATTTATTTATTATATTTCTTTATCTAGGCATTTGAATTCTTTATAAATAAAAATTTGAAGTCGCCTGAATTCATCTCATTATTTATTGACGAAAATCTTAAGAAAGGCTTGAAAGGAGTAAGTATTTATGTGTTTGTTACTGTCTTTCAAATTTAAGTTAATCAATCAATTAAAATTAGAAAACTGAAGAAGAAGTAGATAGTGTATTGGATAAGACTATTACGTTATTCCGTTTCATTGGTGAAAAAGATGTTTTTGAACGGTATTATAAGCAACATTTGGCCAAACGACTATTACTAGGACGTAGTGTAAGCGATGACGCAGAAAGAAGCATGATTGGTAAACTTAAGGTAAATTAAAAAAGAACTATAATCAAAATTGACGCATATAATTATTGATTAATCTTAACGAATATCTTAAAATAGATTGAGTGTGGATATCAATTTACGACGAAACTTGAAGGAATGTTCAATGATATGAGGATCTCAACCGATACCATGACAGATTTTAAGGACTTTTTAGAAAAATCGGCATTGGAGGTACAAAAAAAAACACTTAGTGAGCTATTTTAACATAAAACTATTGAATTTTTATACCAAGTCTATTTTATAACATTCAGAGGCCTAAGCTGGATTTAAGCGTTACCGTTCTTACGTCTACATTCTGGCCAATGAATTTATCCGCAAGTCCGCGGTGTAATTTCCCTGCAGAAATAAACAAAGCGTGTGATACCTTTCAAAGGTTTTATCTTGCACGACATAGTGGTCGGAGGTTAACATGGCAATCCAATATGGTGAGTCGTTTTTTGAATATATTGCAATAAAAAAAATAGTAAACTTACCAATTTACTGATTTGAAACACAATAATAGGGAAGCGCAGATATCCGTGCTACTTTTAATACTCGGAAACATGATATTAATGTATCAACGTATCAAATGGTTATACTTTTAATGTTCAACGATTTGCCCCCTGACCAAAGCCTATCATATGAGGTAAAGTGTATTATTATTAATTTGCCCCTTTGTTATCTTTAAAGTTTGGTTAGTTCATTAAATATTCTCATTTATACATGGTTATTGTAGACAATAAAAGGCGAAAGCGATATTCCAGAGGCTGATCTCAAACGTAATCTTCAATCATTAGCGTGTGCTAAATATAAAATCCTTGTAAAGGAACCTAAAGGAAAAGAAATCGAAGCTGGAGACAAATTCTATTTCAATGGTGACTTTACAAGTCCGCTGCAGCGCATTAAAATTCAAACAGTAGCCAGCAAAGTTGAAACAGAAGGCGAAAGGAAAGATACGAGGGAAAAGGTTGAAGAAGCTAGGAAACATCAAACAGAAGCAGCAATTGTAAGAATTATGAAAGACCGAAAAACGATGGATCATAATCTTTTGATTGCAGAGGTGACGAAACAATTACAGCCACGATTTGTACCTAATCCGGCAATGATCAAAAAACGAATCGAGGCATTAATTGAACGAGAGTACCTAGAACGAGCACCGGGCGACAGGTTAGTCTTACATTTATAATCTGATATACAATTCTTTCGCTGTGGTGGATCCTTAATCATTTTTTTTTAGGCGCGTATATAATTATCTTGCATGAACATAGAGATAATAATCGATTAGGAATGATCGATCATTTGATTTGTTTGATCGTGACCGATTATAAAAAATTGTTTTGAGTATGGTCGGTTGATAAATGATCGAACATATTCGATCATTAATCGTCATGCCTGAATGCCTGACACTATGCATCATTCGTATTATATCCTCCACAATACGCACATTTTTCACAATTCGAATCTTTTTATAATCGTCAATTGTATTATTAATTATTTCACGTTATTCGTGCGGCTCAAATTTAAATGCAAATAACTTTTATGCTTAGACTAATCAACGCGAATAAAATGAATATTCATTAAATAGTTTTAAGAATTTCCACTTTTAAAATACAAAATCCAAATAACCATATGGGCAATTTTGGAAGTCAAACCCATCAAGCAAGGGTAGAGGATCGGTCATTAATTTGACACATCAATATCTCAAGAACTACAATAATAATTTAATTTGTTTTTGATTATACGTAGCAATAATTTAATAATCTATTAACGTTAAATAATTTAAATTATTATTATTATAATTCTTGGGATATTGATGTGTCAAATTAATGACTGACCCTCTACCATTGGCTGATAAGTTTGATTTCCAACAATTGACCCATACGCTTACAATATTATTTTCCATTGCTAAATCCATAGTATTAATGTCATGCTTGAAGTTCATATCTGGCCTAACAGTTGAAATTAGATCTTGCGGTGTTACGAAATTTTTCTCGGTGAAATTTATTACTACGTATAATTTTCTTAGTAATTTTTTTTATTAGTGGTATAATTATTTTTTAGATATATATAATTAACCTTATTTTTTACTATACATAATTATTACATCTTGTTCTTATAGTTAAAAATTACTCAATTTGTGCGTAATGTTTTTTTTTGGCGATAACAAAAATTCTATATAAAGAGCTGCTTGCTGCGAATAATAAACCTTAAGACAGTGTATATTGGTAATTGAAGAAAGAAAACCTTTAAATTTAACCATATAATGATTACGGACAATTCGTACATAGATTACCGGTCTGAGTACCTCGGAACAGCTATACCTCAGACAGAAATTCGTCTGATTGGTTGATTTTCTACAAATCGTCATAGATTGGGGTGTCAAATGCAAGTCTAATTACAAACATAGTGCAGGTGGTACGTATCATGGTTGGGAAATGACTAGTCATTTGACTCGGATTCCCTAGCCATGGTGATTTCCGAAGCATCCGGTCTGATATTAAAAGTCAAAACAATCGAATACAACATATAAATAAAAGGAAAAAAAACATTTTGGATTAGGAAATCGTGTTTTATAATTTTGTAAAAAAAAAATTTCAATTAGAGCGCAGGTGATTTAATAAGCAAAATTTTGTTGTTTTCGTAAAATTTCACGTTACACCGGATCCGGATTTTGATTGGTGGGTGATCATTCTGAGCGTTGGAAATTACATGATCTGACACCTCGTTTTGTTATGGCTAGGGTACTTATTTGACTCTAAATGACCAAATGACCTTCAAATGGCCTTAGGTCATTGTTATTTAGTTATTTAATATAAAATAGCTGACATCATGTATTAAATGACTAATTATGAACGACTTTAGCATCATTCTAAAAAATGGTAGTTAGACAGATTTGTTGAGTTACACAAAATTTTGAATACATAATGATTACTATTTATGATCAACAATGTTACAAAGTATATTATTAACATAGTATAGTATATTATATTAATAGTAGTTGTTATATAAGAGAAAGTTCAATATTCTGATATTGGAAGTAATACAATGTATTGAATTTTTTTTTTTTTTTTTTTTTTTTGTTAAAGGTTATACTTTGTGGTTATACTTTATTGATTTTTATTGGGTTAGTTATTATAACTATTTTTATAAAGATGGGAATACAATTAGACATATATGCAACTTTTGGTTGCTTATTTAAGTAATTTGTTCTAAGGTTTTATACTAAATGTTGTATTTATAACCTACTAGAAGATTATTTATTTAAACCTTTTGATTATCTGTTTTGTTATAATATAACTTTAACTAATCTTTATATATACTTAACCAGTATATTATCTAAGCAGTATGATACTTTACTTTTTAATACTGGTTCTCAGATTATTACATATTTTAGAGTATGTTACTTGTTAGTAAAGAGCAGAAGTTTTTTTGTTATTAATTATTTATTTATTTTTAGAATATTAATAAGAGTTACTTTTACAGAGTTCATCCAGATCTTGACATTGACTTCACAGTTTATCTTTAGTATTTTTAGTATATTTTTGCTTTAGTCTCAAACTACTAATTCAGATAGCCTGGAAGAATTGTGATCTGTTTTTGGTATATTAAGGTTAGCTCAATATTCTTTTCTTTTTATCTAAAATCTAGTAGTTTGATTGGTAGTACTTCTTACATAAGGTTCTTATTTATCTGATTTCTTTATATAATATCTATTTTCTAGGTCTAGTCTTTTCAGTAATACTGTTAAAGATTTGTATTACCTCTCTGCTTAAAATTTTCAAGTAAGTTCTAACTTTTCAGTTTTATAGATTTATATAATCCAAGAACTTCTTTTAGGTTTGTATTACCTAATACTTGTTTGTATTACTAGAATAAATCAAAAAAAAAGATATCAGATTGATTTAATATACTAATAGACTGATCATAGTTCTATATAAGTTATCTAAATTGAGAGTCTAAACAAAAGGCAAGAGTATACTAAAGTACTAAAATTATACTATAAAGTAGATACTAAAGTTTAAATAAACTCTACAAAACATAACAGTTAAAGATATAATTTTAATCATAAGTGTTAGTTTTGTCATAATGATATTTAGATTAGCTATAAAAATAAATACAGAAGGTTTTAAGAAGTTTATTTTAAGAATAAAATAATCTTAAGATTAAAATAATAATCTAAATATTTGGATATTATTCAATATTATTAATATAGGTTTCAAGTTTAGAAAATTTAAAGTAAAATATCTAAGCAAAAATATTAGATATAACAATTAATAAAGAACTTTTAGGCAGATTTCTTAAATAGGTAATATAGAAAAGTTGTATGTGTAGCTAATTGTATGTTCTTCTATAGTAGTTTATAGAATTATATTACTAAAAAAGACATTAATAAAAGTCAAAAGACCAAAAAGGTTATTTTAATATCAAAAAAAAAAGATTTTATTATTTAATTTATTTTATCATAATTATAAATATTTTAAACAATTTGAATTATTTTAAATTATAAGATAATTAGTATAATGTTATTTTTGGTTATATTTTTTTTATTTCTTAAACCATATGATATTAATTAATATATAATTTGAAATATTCTAAATATTTTATCACTATTAATATTAAAAAAATATATTTTAAGTTATAATACTAATTATAATAAATTTAAAGATAAAAGATATTATATTAAAATTATATATAAATTTAATTGTAAATTATTTTTTATATTTAATTATATAAAAATTATATTAAAGATAAAATGTACATGAGATGTGATGACCTAATGAAGTGGTTACATTGTCAACCTCTCAAGTGGTAGGTTGGGTGTTCAAATCCTATCGACAGCAAAAATTTAAATAATCACCTATATAATATTTATATTATAACAACTGTTACTAATGATTGAATTAGGATACCTATAATGGCAATCACACCAGCATGACTGGTAGGTCATGAGGCATCTGTATAAGTATGGCATTACACAAAGGAATGCAAACTAACAAATTGGGTAGTGCAAACACTAGATAAGTCCTTGTGGTCATATAAATTCATTGAAATTAGATAATAAGAAGTTCATTTGAGAAGATCTGAATAGAGAGATAGCTGAATCTTTAACAGCCTTACTGTAGAGGCTAGCTTGAGAAAATAGATATCAAGGTTTTAGTATCCAGTTGTAGTAGCTAGACAGACAAGATCCTTTAGGTTAGGAGTCTCAAAGATTCCATTAACTAGGCTGCCAGAATGAACTGAAGAAAAAGAACATTAGACTAACCCAATATATCAATGAACTGATTATAGTCCTACATAGACTATCTGAATTGGAAGTTTGGTAAAAAGACAGGTAAAAAGGCAGAAGTATACTAAAGTATCAGAGTTATGCTGTAAAGTAGATGCTAGAGTCTAAGTGAACTCTACAAGGGCATAGTAGTTTAATGATCAGTCCTAACTGCAAATATTGGTTCTGCTATAATGATACCTAGATTAGCTATAAAAATAGGTACAGAAGGCTCTGAAGGATTTACCTCAAAGATAAATTAGTCCTAAGGTTAAGATAATAATCTGGGTATCTAGATATAACCTAGTGAGTTAACACAGATTACAGATTCAGAAAGTTTAAAGTAAAATATCCAAGCAGAGGTGTTAGATATGACAATTGGTATAGAACTTTTGAGCAGACACCTTAAATAGGTAATATAGAAAAGTTACATATGTAGCCAATTGTACTCTCTCCTGTAGTGATTCATTAAATCACAATACTGATAAGTAATTAATAAAAGTCAAAAAACCAAAGAGGTTACCTTAATATCAAAAAAAAAAGATAGAATGTATATAGATCATTTTTATATAGTTTGTATATCTTTTTAAAATTTTTATTCAAAATTAATATACAGTATATTACTAATAAAACTTTTTCATTTTTTAATTAATTAAGAAAAAAATTTTATAATATTATAAATAAAATTATTTATTTATTATAGTAAAATTTTAAATTATTGTATTATTTTAAAAAAATATACTTGTATATATGATAAAGTTTTCTTAAGTTGGTTAAAATTTTCTTAGGTAGTACAAAATTAAAGAATTTGATTGGTTAATTTATGTAAGTCTATAAGTTAATTTTATTATATAATTTTATATTCTAATGTTTAAAAATTCATATCTTAATAAGTTTTTATTCAATTTTAATAATTTTGCTATCATTAGAATTAGAAAAACCTACTTTATAACTTTTATTTAATAATTCAAATTAGTTTACTTATTATAATTT